CTCATTACCTACACACACTATCCCGTCACGTTGTGACAGTCTTATATATATATACAAAACTAACACTATATCTAGTAATCTCCCGACAATTCACGAAGGTTCGAGAGAACGAGTGGCGTGACACTAGTCACGTGACCTCGCTGACGCAACAATACCTTTCTCATTTCGTGACTGATCTTATTCATGCCGCCATTAAAACAAAGCTTGCGCATCACGTGTTCGATGGTCCGTGAACTATCGCCGTCTATTAATCTCAACAAGAGCTAAAGGCACTGTTTCAACTTGCCCCTGTAACAACTAACCCCGGTCTCCCCTACATGAAATATTATACATTTAACGCAGTCTGTCTTTATAGCAAATGACACTGGGGTTTCATATTGCGAGAGTATAAACGCTTTTTTTTAATCAAATTAAAAGTTTTCTGTATTTTATTAATTCATTCCGAGTTGGATCTTTGGTTTCATATCATACTTACTTTCCCACTGACACTGGACAGTATCTTGCTTTCATACGTAAATAATTCTTGGAACTTCTTGTCCTTTCTACTAAGTTAAACCATTTCCTCTTTAATGACGTCATTTATGCCATGGGATCCCGCTAGGCCCGACGATAGCCAATAGTTTTCTATGTTATAATGAACACAAGTGGCTAGAAAACTGCCAACCTGAATTCAAACATGTTCTTTACAAACGCCATATTGAAGACATTTTCTTGCTGTTTCGACAATCAAGCCAGTTTCCAAGTTTTCCCTTAACTTAACTTCCAACACACCAATATCAAGTTCACATACGAACTCGAGGAAAATGATTCTTTACCTTTCCTAGATGTCAGGATTACAAAAGAAGGTAAACACTTTTCAACCTCTGTTTATCGTAAAATAACTTTTACTGGCCTTTACACCAATTTCAGTAGTTTTACCACCAACTTCTTCAAACGTAATCTGGTTATATCATTGTTGAACAGAATTTTTAATCTTTGTTCTAATTATTTTATTTTACACGAAGAAATTTCCCTTCTACATAACACATGTTAAATAATGGCTATCCGATTACTTTTCTAACGAAGATTACACGCAATTTCCTAAACAACAAAATCCAACCACCAGCTAATGTACACACCGTCCCCAAATTTTCCCTCTTTATCTTCTTTCCTTTTATGGGTTCGCAATCCCTACCAATTAAAAAACAACTCTCTTCCCTAATAAAAAATTTCTATCCTCAAATTCAGCGTAGAATAATATACAGACCTAGCCTCCGCATTAAACACTTATTTCAGTAGAAAAATCAAGTACCTAAACTTCTACGCTCATGGCTCGTGTATAAATATACATGTAGTGACTGTAAGGATCAGTTTGTACACCATTCTCACTAACAATGTGGCCTAAGTAAAGCACCTCTTTCTGGAGCAAATGACATTTCTTGGGATGGAGTTTGAGGTTTGCTGCTTTCAAACGCTTGAATACTTCCTCCAGCCGGGACATTTCCTCGTCAAAAGTTGTTGCAAATACGATGACATCGTCCAGGTACACTAGGGCTATCCTCCATTGTAGGCCTTCCAATACTCATTCCATCAGCCTCTCAAATGTTGCTGGAGCATTACTGAGCCCGAATGGCATCACTCTGTATTGCCAGAGACCTTGGCCATAACTAAATGCTATCTTGGGTCTATCTGCTTCAGCCATTTTTACTTGATGGAAACCTGACTTTAAGTCCAGAGTTGAAAACCACCTGGCTCCACTTAGGGCATCAAGAGTATCATCAATTCTTGGCAGTGGGTATGAGTCTTTTTCGGTTATGCTGTTAAGAGCCCTGAAGTCCACACAGCAACGTTGGGTCCCATCCTTTTTCTTGACTAATACAACGGGAGCTGACCAGGGACTATTTGATTTTTCAACTATCCCTTCCTTGATTAGACCATCCATGACCTTCTCTATCTCTTGTCGCTTTGCTGGAGCAATTCTCCTTGTAGGGATCTTTATTGGA